GCTGCTACTACTACTACTACTGCTACTGCTACTGCTACTGCTACTGCTGCTACTACTGCTACTGCTGCTACTACTGCTGCTACTACTGCTACTGCTACTGCTGCTACTACTGCTGCTACTACTGCTACTGCTACTGCTGCTGCTGCTACTACTGCTGCTACTACTGCTGCTGCTACTGCTACTACTGCTACTACTACTGCTACTACTACTGCTACCACCACCGCCGCCACCATTACCACTATCACCATTGTCATTGTTGTCATAACACTACAAGAATTGCATTTTTGGCAACAACATCAAATTTTTGTAGCCAAAAGCACGCTTTTAGCAACACAGAACTCAAGTTCATTGGTAAAAGTTAGCTTTTTAGCGACATGATTCACAATTCGTCATTAAAAGTTAACCTTTTAGCGACATGATTCACAATTCGCCATTAAAGAGTCAAAATATATGTTAGGTGCCAAAGACAAATGTTTGTGCCAAAAAGGAAAAGTTTTAACAATGTAAATTTACTTTTGGCAACGCAAACATGCGTTGCTATAAGTTGACACTTTTGGTGACGTCTCTCCAATGTCGGCAATGAGTTTAATTTTTTAATGACAAAGTCATACTTGTTGCCAAATTTTTGCGATTTTTGCAATTTTTTATTTTTGGTTGAGTAGAATATTTACAAGTAAAACCACGATGTTTTGCGTATTCTTTTATTCACAAAAAAATGTTAATGAAATTATGAGAAATAAATTATATCATGTGATACAGAATGAAATTGAGACAGTGGGGTATTATGCATGGTTAAGATAATATAAAATGATTAATTATTTGAACGGAGGTGAAAAATAATTGATAGAGTCATTTTCCTAATACCACAATCCCTTAGCATTTAATTAATTCCCAATTTCCCCTCATTTGTTCCTCTCTTATGTCTTAAATTTATATTTAATTTAATTATATATTTGTATTTTATGTTATAGATGAATAACATTAGTACAACATCATACTGATATGTATGAGAAAATTGTTTAAAATGTATTTAGAATTTAAAATATTTGAATGGGATTTATTTACATTATAAATTAAATTATAAACACTTTTCTTGGTGTATATTTCTATTGAAAAAATATATTATTCAAAATTTAAAATGCGGAGAATTTTTTTAAACAATATTTAAAATTTAAAATGTGTAAATTATATTTATTAATTTATAAGGTAGATTCATGTTCTATTTGAAACCAATTGAATAAACATTTTTGTTAATTTTTTTTTTTTTTTTTTTTTTTTTGGATGCATTTGAAATAAGGCAAAAGCAAATAATGGATTAACACCCCCACACACATTGCCTTTCAGTTTTGTTACCCTTTGTTTTGTGCCGTAGCATTCACCCGCTCTCTAATTGCGTTGCCTCTCACTTTCTCTCCAATGTGTCCATCTCTCTTTCCAGTCCTTCCCCACCGTTGATCGCCACTACCCATTGTCATTGCTCGTCGCCGCCACCACCAAAAGGTAAGTCCTCCACTCTCTCACTTTCTCTCTTTTCTTCTTCTTTTTTTTGGGGGGGGTTAATTTTTCGGAACCCTAATTTTAATAAATTTCAATCAGCCTAATTCAATTTTAGAATGATCAATCAAAAGCCACCAAAATGATCGAGCGTCCTTGGCATTGTCGTAGGGTTGGGCCTGAGTTATTAGGGGTTTAAGGTAAATTTTTTAAATTGGGCCTTTCTTATGTAATTACCAAAAAAAAAAAAAAATGTTTTGGATAAAACAAAAAGGATAAAAATTTATTTCTATTGCAATACAATTTAACAAAATTTAGATAACAAATATATATATATATAATAGTTGAAGTTCAATTAGTTGATTCGAATCATTATTTTTTAGCTTACCAATGCTATAAGAACTAAAATTAATTGGGGATAAGGATGAGAATTTTGGACACAACTAAAGCAACATATAAAATTAGCAAGTTAGGTTTGACTATTTTCCAACATAAATCTAAGTATGACACGATTCAATAATATGAATTATTAGTTATATATTTTAATGTGTTCACTAAAGGATGTCATGACATTTTTTTAATCTTTTATTTAACTTCATCTAACTAAATAAAAAAAGTATGTAAAATAATAATTAAGGCTAAGATCTTTGTTTCATTTAAGATTGTGTGGGTGATTTTCCGACCACACTGCCCGCTTAGTAACCAGCTGGAGAGCACTGGCAGAATAGATGGCACCTGACGGACCTGCAGAATCATTCCCGTCGGAGTGCAAAATCAAATCCAAGGAGAAGTAGGCACCAGTCAGCCCATGGCTCATGGCAACACGGCCACAGTAACACATGCTCAAACCGCAGTAGGCGGCAGCAGTTTGCCTACGCCCGGGCTCCATAGCGTGCCAAGCCAAGATCCAATGGTGACTAGGGGAGGTTCTGGTGTAATGAATGGGGCTCCGGCGACTGTTGGTGTCTAGACAAATACAAGGGGCATGATGGCGCAAAAGGGAGCTCTGCCCGTACCTAATCTTGTTATGCCACCAGTGAATGTTACTCAAGCACCAAGCGGGCCTCCTTTGGTACCAACAACAAATTTGCAAGCACAACCCGGTATAGCGGCGCCGTGTGGTGGACTTTACAGGCCTCAATTCAATGTCCCATCACCAACTGGCTTGTCTATAGGCACTGATGGCTAGTATCGTCAAATGTCCTCACCAATGATGAATTCGTAGCACCAAAATGGCCAAGTCGCCCCTAGCTCAGTCTTCGGGTCCATAAGCCAAGTTCTAAGAATACCACCATCAAACTCTCTCCCTTAACAGTTTCTCACTCTCGCCGATGTGCAAGCCATGTTCGACCTCTAACGAGGCAAGAGGACTTTACCCTCTTTGCCTGATCCGGATGTTAAGCCGCCTTACCCTATTGAGATGTTGAGTTATCCATACCTTGAGGGGTACACAATGCTGAAGTTCATTAAATTCGATGGCAAACAAGGAAATGCTCGAGAACATGTTGTGCGATTCATCGAGACTCTGGGTATTCATGGTCTAAACCACGTCCTCTGGTTGAGAGAATTCTCTAAGTCCCTCACTGACCGAGCATATAGTTGGTATGTTAATTTGGCTCCAAACTTTGTCCGAAGTTGGGAGGAAATGGTCAACAAATTCCACTCTAAGTTCTTTCAAGTGGCGGAGAAGGTGACCACACTTACATTGTGTAAAGAAAAGCAGCAAGAAAGTGAAGACATCCTTGACTATGTCAAAAGGTTTCAGGACAAGGCTGTGGATTGCCATGAAGCAGTGGAGGAGAGCTATCTGGTTCAAATCTGTCTAGAGGGGGCATTGAGTAGGTACAAAATGTTTCTAGTTAATCACAAGCTACCCACATTCTCGGCACTAATAGAAGCAGCTCGAAACATTAGCATTCCTCAGGCTCAAGAGTCCGGATTTAAGGCCAGTTACAAGACTAGCTTCAAATCGTCTCGTGGACCTATTGTTGCTGCTGCCTCTGCCCCAGATACCCGAAAGTCATAAGGAGGAGGTCATAAAGGCTAGAAGAGAAAGCAATATAATGGTGAAAAGGGAAATGTCTCTTATCCATGTGGAATCGAGGAAGTAAAAGCTCTAGTTAAGGAATGAGTGGCCGACAGAGAGCTAAAATTGTCTTATGTTAAAGAAATGCCATCAAAAAAGGACCGTGAGAGCCCTGAATTTTGTGTCTACCATTGTACATTGAAACATCCGACAAAGAAGTGTTGGACTCTCAGGAAAATCTTCAGAGATAAAGTCGAGGCAGACGAATTGAGGTTCAAAAAGCAAGGGACTCAAGACATCCGAGAACAACCGTATTTTCAGCACTGAGACAAGGGTAAGAATGTTTCTATGATAGCTTATGAAGGCCCGATGATTGAGGCTATTGCCAATCTCGATGACGATGATTATTATCTGGACGACATCCTCGAGCCAGAGGGTGAGCAAGCTTACTATGGAAGTGCTCTCGATCCAGAGGGCAAAACATTTATGACTCATAGCAAAGATCCCTTTGATCCAGAAGGAGGAGAAGAGTACTATGGAAGAGGAGGACACCATGTTTATGTGGCATCTTATTTTGAAGAGACCAAGGAGATGGTTAACTACGAGCCTCCATGAGTGGAAAAAGATCCGGATCACTATGCCAAAACCTTACAAGATTGTGTAAAGTTCAAGCAATTCTTTGACCAGCTTAGACTTTCCAAGGAGGCAAGAACAGAAATCACCAAGTCTATCATCAATATAGCTGAGGCACACCATGAGGAATGCATGTCGACCGAGGGATCTATTCCGAGAAAGGCAAAAAAGCAATCTAGTGCCATTACTTTCTCTGAGACTGATCGGAAGTATCATTTTTCCCACAATCGCCCGCTTTATATGACTGCTTTTATTAATGGGGTTGAGTTCAAAAGGGCCTTTCTAGACAGTGGAGCCTCTATCAACATTATGACTCGCGCTACTCTAGAAAAGGCCGGAATCTCTGAAGAACGCATTGTGAAGCAACCGATAGTTATCACTAGCTTCGGTGGAGAAAGGAGAGTTACTATCGGATGCGTAACAGTTGATTTAGCCGTCGGAGAGATTCGCTCGGCCACCAAATTCCACATTATTGATTCTGAGGCAAATTATCACATCATCTTAAGGAGGACCTAGATGCATAGATATAGGGTTGTACCATCGAGTTACCATTAATGTGTTAAGGCTAAATGGGAAAAGAAGACGGTGACAATTCAGGCTACAAAAAGGCCTTTCGAGACCCATGAAGCTCATTACTCTAATGCCATCTACTTCACTGAGCTGGCTGTCGAAGAAGTTCCCACCACCTCTAAGCCTCGGGGGTCAAAATTCCTCGTTGGGAGGATATCAAAGATGACAAGGAGCTAAGGGCTGAATCAGGTAAACGGGTGATGTCTAGACCAGAAAGTTCGCCTATTCATCGGAAGGTGATGAAAGTCCGAGATGGGGGCAAGATGGTGTACTATTTATGAAGGTGCGGGAATCGGTTTCTTTAGTCACTGACTCCGAGTCAAAAGAAGAGCCTCCTGACAATGACATAGTGATAAAGCTTGAAGTGGCTCCAGAATGCATGCAAGATGGGTCGAAGCCTCAGCCCGAACAACTTATTGAAATAGATCTGAGTGATGGACAAGATGCTCCAAGGCTGATATTCATAAGTTCGAGCCTTAGCCCAGAGAAGCGAGAACAGTTGTTAAAGTTGATAAGCCGGTATTCAGATGTGTTCGCTTGGTCATATAAGGAAATGCCCGGACTAGATCCTGACCTAGTCTCCCATTATCTTGATGTGTTCCCAAACTCCAAGCCAATTAAGCAAGCTGCTCGAAAGTATCATCCAGATCTCGAAGAGAAGATTAAGGAGGAGATTGAAAAACTTCAACAAGCTGGTTTCATCCGGCCAATACAGTACCCCACGTGGTTGGCAAACATAGTACCAGTAAAGAAGAAGAATGGTCAAATTAGAGTATGTGTAGATTTTTGAGATTTGAACAAATCTTGCCCAAAGGATGAATTCTCTCTTCCTCACATCGACACCCTCGTGGATGCCACCATGGGACACCAGATGTTCTCATTCATGGATGGATTCAGTGGATACAATCAGATTAAGATGGCTGAACAAGATGCAGAAAAGACTGTTTTTAGAACACCTCTCGGAAACTTCTTCTATACAGTCATGCCTTTCAGACTCAAGAATGCCGGAGCAACTTACCAAAAGGCTATGACTGCAATTTTTCATGACATGATCCATCATGAGGTGGAAGATTATGTTGATGATCTAGTGGTGAAATCCAAGAAAGAAGAGGACCATCTCTGAGACCTTGAGAAATTATTCAAGAGGTGCCAGAAATTCAAAATGAAGATGAATCCTCTCAAATGTGCTTTTGGGGTAACGACCGGGAAGTTCCTCGGGTTTCTTGTACATAGGCATGGTATTGAGGCAGATGAAGACAAGGGCAAATCTATTAGAGCAATGCCGTCCCCACATTCTTAGAAAGAGTTAAAGAAGTTCCTCGGAAAGGTGTCTTATATTCAGAGGTTTATCCCAGCACTTGCAGAGATCTCTGCCCCTTTCGGCTCATTATTAAAAGGAGATGCCAAGTTCGAGTGGAATCAAGTGCACCAAAAGACCTTTGAGAGAATCAAGGCGGCCTTAACCTCGCCTCAGACCATGATAGCCCCGCAGCCCGGGGTCCCTCTAATGTTGTACTTAACCTCAACCCCCAAGTCCATAGGGGCATTATTGGTCCAAGATGTAGACGGAGCAGAACGCCCGGTGTATTACATCAGCCGGAAGATTCGAGGAGTAGAAGTTCGATATACTCCGATAGAGAGACATTGCTTAGCTTTGGTATTCACCGCCCAAAAGCTCAGACATTACTTCTTAGCACATCAGATTCAGATTGTTACTAGAAGTGATCCAATCCGATACCTCCTCAGCAAGCCTGCTCTAACCGGGAAGGTGGCAAGATAGTTGTTAGCACTAGGTGAATTCGAGATCACATGTGTAGCTCTCAAGGCAATTAAAAGCCAAGCCTTAGCTGATCTCCTTGCTCAATTTCCAAGTGGTGACTATGAACCAGTGAATGAAGAATTAAGAGGAGAGGTGCATGCAGCTATGGCTTCCGAGGAAAGCTTCTGGACATTGAGCTTTGACGGAGCAGCAGCTAGAGGGAAAGGAGGAACCGGGATAGTCCTTACAAGTAAAAGTGGGGAAAAGTTATATTTGTCTTACAAACTAGATTTCCATTGCTCAAATAATGAAGCCGAGTATGAGGCTCTTATTTTAGGCTTGATAGCAGCTGAGAGGCACAATATCAAGAAGATTCGGATTCGGGGGGACTCAAAACTGATAGTGAAGCAAGTTTCAGGACAGTTTGTCTTGAAGGAGCCTGCCTTGGCCACATATCGAACAACAGTCCAAAGGATTCTTGACAAATTTCATAAGGTTGAAATAGAGCAAGTGCCTCGCTCCGACAACAAGTTTTTAGATACCCTCGCACCATTAGGGGCAAGAGTTGACATTCCAGAGGAGGAAGCAACAATTGTTATCAAGAAGAGAACAGAGCCTTCAATAATACCCGAAGACGAAGACCTTCCGGAAGACTGGAGAGCAGAAGTCCTTGAACAACTCAGAAATAAAATTGGAAAACTAACTATGGCCAAGCTCGCCCAATTCATAATTATTCAAGGTGAACTTTACTTCTGAGGAAGTACCGGATTCCTAGCCCGGTGTGTTGGCCAACAAGAAGCAAGCTTCCGACTACAACAGATTCATGAAAATTCCTGCGGAGATGGGGATATCAGTCTGTACAGAAGGATCCAAAGACAAGGCTATTATTGGCCCGAGATGGAGAAGGCCTCGAATCAACTATAGGAAGAATGCCCCAAGTGTCAGTCATATATCCGGGAGGATGAGAGTTGCTTTGAAATTGATACCCCTGACTGGAGACAAGTCTACATTGACTATCTCAAAGAGGGGACACTACCTGAGAACCCGAGGGACATTGCACACCTCAAGAGGAGAACGAGGCGGTACTTTCTTGATCAGAACAAGCTTTACAGAAGAAGCATTGAGGGCACTCCCCTGAGGTGTCTCTCCAAGGAAGAATCAGATCTAGTCCTCGAAAGAGCCCACGAAATTGAGCATCAAGGAGGGGCTCGGCTGTTCGAACAACTTATACACCTTGGGTATTATTAGCCGACTATGGAGTCAGATGTATCCCATCACGTGAAGAGGTGCCAGACTTGTCAGAAACATGGAAATTTGATCCATGCTCCAGCCGTAGACCTGCATAGCATCCGAACGCCATGGTCGTTCCATACCTGGGCTTTTTATCTGATAGGGCCCATCTCCACACCTTCTAAGGGGTACAAGTGGATTCTCGCAGCCACAGAATTGAGCACAAAGTGGGTCGAAGCAATTCCTCTGAAGAACGCTACGGGGCCTGCAGTCGCGAACTTCATCAAGGAGAATATCATTTGCCGGTTTGGAGTACCAAAAACCATCCTCTCGGATAACGGCACTACCTTCATAAACAAATATGTGAAGAGCCTCCTAGAGACTTACCAAGTGAAGCATCACAAATCCACACCCTACTATCCAAAAGGGAACGGGCAAGCGGAGGCCACAAACAAGACACTGATAAGGATTCTGAACAAGATGATGGATGAATTTGGGGGGACTTGGTCCGAACAGTTGATAGTAGCCTTATGGGCATATCGCACTTCAAAGAGAAAGCCAACTCAAGCAACTCCTTACTCCCTTGTGTATGGGTCCGAGGCTGTGTTACCTATAGAGTTGGAAACACCATCTGCTCGGATGGCTCTCGCCTCGGGGATGGTATTGGAGCCTCAAACCACCAGATTGAAAGCATTAGAGGAAAAACATGACAGAGCTGCAAAAGTCATTGAAAGATATCATGCGTCTATTGCCCGAGCCTACAACCAGACTGTGGTACCAAGAAAATTTGAAGAAGGTGATCTAGTATGGAAGATTGTAGACCCAATCATGTGAGGACAACCTTTGCCCAAGTTTTCTCCAAAATGGGAAGGGCCCTATAGGGTGGTTCAGGCGAGCTCAAGCGGGTACTACAAGCTTGTAAGGGTTGAAGATGGCTTCCGAACTGGCCCGTTCAATGCAAAGTTTATCAAGCATTACTACCTATAGTTAGACTCATCTATGTTGAAATTCATTTTCATTTTCTTACTTTGTCTAAAAGTTGTATTTCCCTTACATTATGAAGAAGCTGGTTTTCTCTATGGTGTATGTTTTATCCCATCACTTGCAGTGAATCTATTATACTTTTGTCAAGAAAGTTGAAGAATTAATGAGAATATTTCAGCTTTTATAAACATGTGCGTATGATTGTCCTTTCCATTGTATCATTCGAAATAAATATTTTATCAAGTAGAATGAGAAAACAATGCGAAAATATCCAAACAGCAAAGATTTTGTCATTTCATTGCATTGTCCTAGATAAAACATTTTTATCGAAAGGGGCAAGAAAGTAATAAAAAAAAACTCAATCTCTCCTAAAGACACCCTCGAAGAAGCTGCCCGTCACATCTACATCCGGAGGACAAACAGCAGAGTGTGCCTCTAAAGTCTCCAAGGCCCGAGCATAACCCGACTCAAGTTCACGAAGAGTTGCCTTTGTCTCATCTATAAAGGTCCGATAAGAGGCAAGCACAGACATAAGTTCCACCCAATGACTGGCGTTCGAAGCTATATCCAGGCGCTTCCGAAGCCATGATAAGTCCACTTGGTGACGCTCCATGTCAGAGATCCCCTGATACGCCGTCTCGACTACTTTCCCATTAAGGTCACACAACCGTTGCATGTTCAAGCTATATAAGATAGTGGCAAAAGACTCGAGAAGAGCAGTCTGAATGAGTGGACACTGGCAAGCAAATGAAGCAAAGGTCTCCGGGTAACTCGAATGCACAAGCTGTAGAACTGAAGCAAACTCAGGAGCTACCCAATAATGGAGAAATGATACTTTGCCAGAAGCCAAAGGAGGAATTGGGGCCGGAAAGCTGCTAGTCTCAGGAATCTCCCCAATGTCTATCGGGTTAGATGAACCACCCGGAGGGGTAACTCCCGGCAGAGGTCCCGAGCCTGAGAATGCGGAACGATAAGGGGAAAGACCAAAAGCGTCACTATCAAAGTGGAAATCACTAAGATTCAAATCCAAAATATTCGAAGGCACTGGCGATGAAGAACCTGTAGCAGTCGTCTCAAAGCCAGGTGTCCTCCCTTGAGAAGGAGAACTATGAGGAGTCACAAAGAGAGTCGGAGTAGAGTCCAAGGCAGGTGAAGGCAGGACCCCGGTAGCAGCTAACACTGGAGCAGAGTCTGAGGCAGGTGAAGGCAGGACCCTGGTAACAGCTAACACTGAAGAAAAGATAAGGAAATCTTATTAGGGGTAGGGAACAATAAAGCCATTTGAGTAAAGATTTCGCACAGATAGAAGTAAATGACAAACTTCAGAAAGAAAGATTACCAGAGGGAGAATCAATATGCAAAGCCGGAGCAACTGAAGGACTCCTAGCATCAACAAAGTCACTTGGCCGTATAGGGAGCACCTGATCGATCTCAATGTCTGATGAAGCCTGAACAGTAACCGTCATCCCTGAAGAAGGAAGGAAGGCCGGAGGATGAGAATCACCATAAGTGCCAGAGCGAGTCTCAGAGATTTCTAGCACATCCACCTCCACACCATTCCCAGAGACGCACCTCATCTCTACATTGCTTCTAGAAGCATGGCCTGCGGCATCAATTTCTGTGGCATCAGTCCCTCCAGCAATCTCAACATCAGAACGGTGAGCCCCAATAACCTCGTCACCAAGATAGCGCTCCTCCTCAGTTACGGTAGGGCGGTGACGACGCATGCGTGGAATAAGGTCACAAAAATGATCGGAGGACTCAGCCTCATCATCATCGTCATCTATAACTGCTATACGAGGGGTGCGTATCTTCACAAGTCTTGCAGACAAAGGTAGGGTGTCGTCCAAGTCTGAGTCCGGCCTGGGGGAGGCAGTATGGCCAAGAGCTACGGTACTGAGAACGTCAACAACCGCAGGGTCCTACATAACGGGGGCAAATAAAAAGTGTTCATTTAAGAAGGTATAGTCGCAAGAAAGAAAGTAACTTCAAATCAAAAAAAATTTGGGTACCTGATGAAGCCTTTTAGAAAGGTGAGGAGCGGAAGGACTGGCATCAGAAGCCCTCTTATGAGCCATCTTCTTAAGGCGGGTCGTTCGAGGACCAGAGGCCTTATTCAAAGGAACTGGCTCTGGAGAAGCAATTGCCAAACTAGAAGCAGACGCCCGAGCCGGAGGGTCAGTTGGAGCAGATAAGGTAAAGAAACTCTTGTACATGTGATCAGATTTTTGGCTCTTAGGCAGCCGAAGAGAAGAGTCCTTCTTATAGATCAACGGAGGCAAACATATGGTCGGTCTGCTCTGGACAAATGCAATACATGCATCGATATTCTTCCGCCAATATCGCCTGAAAGAGGGGGTGAAACCCCCTACTCGGCACAAGCCTGGCATCGTCAAAGAGCCGGATATAGGAAGCATGGTGTGTACAAGTCCACGACTGAATCACCCGTAGCTCTCCGAAAATGATAATAAATAAGGTGTTAGCCCCGGGGCACATTGATCAAACCCAAATTGACATGCTACACGGTCAGGTCTATAAATAGCACTATCAACGCCTTCCTCATGCCAAACCGGTAGTGAACTGGAATGAATCATTATTAGCATATCAACAAAGTGTGCAGAGATGTTCTTCGGCAAAGGAAAGGGCACTGAGCAAGAGGAACCATGATAGATAAGTGGTGCTGCCACACCCACCAGTGGGCATACATACGGTCGTGCCACAAAGCGCCGGGGATTTTCCACCAGGGCATTCAAGGATAAGGTAGAAATGGTACGTGACCAACGTGTAATCAACAGCTGGCAAGACTTCGCTTTCTCAAATGTCCGAGACCCGTCAGTACTGAGCACGGGGATTCCATCTTTATCTACTATCTCCTGAAGAACCTCCGCCTCGAATACAGTTGGAGCAGGGGCAAACTTTGGGAACCTCTCGAAGAAAAAACAAAGCAAGAACTGGCTGTGAATAAAGGAGACAGGCTCATATCGACCCACGGAATGAACCATGTCTCGATGTAGTAGATCCACCCGGTAAAAAAGATTCCCAAGAAATAGCGGAGCCAAAGGAATCCGATCCCCTCTGAAGAGCCTAACTGCCAAGGGAAAGACAAAGGGATTGAGAGAACCTGGAGGTGTGCTCGGAAGAATGAAGAATGAAAGGAAACAAGCTAGAAATCCCAAGAAATAGAGCCTAGAGCCATACATCGGGCCTACCTTATACTCCTAAGAATCAGGGTCAGCATCTCTAGCCAATGGCTGAAGATCCTTGAAGAAGTGGCGGATCCATGCGGTATAGGAGGCACGGTCCATCCTTACTTGACTGGTCCTCCTCGCTGAACCATCAAATACAGAACTCCATCGGCCGCAAGCTTGAAGATTTAGCTTTAGAGATTGGATCAAAGAGTCATCCTCGGGGGGTGTCTGCTCAGGGTAGAAGGCATCAGGGCCGGTCACTTCCAGACGCAACAACATGAACACATCCTCGAGGGTGGGCCCCATCTCGTGCTGGCCAAGTATAAAGGTGTGTGTCTCGGTGCTCCACCGAAG